ATATATATATATATATATATATATATAGAATATCTTCATAGTATAGCCGCGCGGCTATTCTCCGAAAATATAATATTTTAAAAGTCCAGCCGCCCGGCTATACCCTTTAAGTAGCTCTCTTTTTTTATTTCTTTGATTAGTACTTATGTTTTACTTAGTGATTATTAAAGGAAAAAAGAAAAAAGAAAAGTTGAATTACTATTTATTAAGTAATACAATTCATGAAGTTAATTAAAAAATGTAATACTAATTATTCACTAAATATATAATTATTAAAATATAATTACTAAGTTAACTAATTAAATGAGGCAAATATATTATTTAATTACTAAAAATAAAATATAACAAAATTAATTAACCTAAACATCCTAATTTTATATATATATTTTTTCAAATGACCTCTCCCGACAAAATTTCGTCGGCAAAGGTATTAAGACAAAAACATTATATGATATTTGAATTTTAAAAATAAATAATTAATTAATTAACTAATCGGGTTTAATTTAAATCACAGAGCCCAAGAGCTCCAAGGCCCAAGGCTAACCTTTTGATTATTTAAATGTATATTATTTAACCATTGACCTAAAGGCCATACCCACAAGCCACTCAATTGGGCCACTTGAGTGGCCAATCCAAACTATTCTAGTAGTAAGTGTATGTCTTATAAAAACCTCCAAGGAACTCTAGTGTTCCAATGTGGGACTAATTTCAACTCAAACATGTGGGATTGTTGATGAGAGTTCACCATACGAACTTGGATTTTGTAATTGGGTATTGCGGTGAAGGTGACATTGGGGCACTTGTTCATGAGTAAGTGGCCAATGGAAATTTGTAACACCATATATTTTCTGCTGGTACAATACTCTTAGATATTAATATTAATATATTTTGGACTTAGTTGTTGCAATGGTCTCTAAACTAGTACACCCGAGTTGAATTTTCGTCCATGATATCCAAAAATAGCTACAACCATCCTCTAATTAGTCTCGTATTGCATGACTTGGTATAGTTGCTCCTTTTTCTCTTTAATTTTAAAGAAATACAATATAATTTTTAATAGTAAGTTTTGGTATAATTGTAAACGTGGTTGGATGTACAAAGTGAATTCCTGGATCATGAAAATTGAGTGTCTAAGAAGTACTTACAATTAAATTTTTGGTTTTCATAACAATAAAAGTTTGGGTCTCCTTAACTAGTCCTTTCAATTAAATTTTCTAGTCATCATTACCATTTGTCTCACATATACTGGACTTCATGTGCCAAATTTTAACAATAGACATGAACAGTCATGTGGTGGGGAAAGTATATGTTTGGTTTATTTTCTCTCGTTTGTTTCCTTTGTAAATTGCATTATTACTGATAATACACTCTTGGATGTGTGCAGATATAACTAAAAAGGTTTTCACTTGGAAAGAGAGACTTCAAATTGCTATAGACCCCGCAGGCGGTAAAATACTAGTAGTTATATGAATAGTAATGATGCAGTGTGTGAAGAAGAAAGTAAAGCTTGGCTCCTTAAAACTAAGAGGAGCTCCTCCTCTCCACCGATGATTTAAACAACAGTTTAGATTCAGAATCACGATAAAAAGAACAAAATAACATGGCTACTGATATTTTCAGGACTCGATTACCTTCACACTGGTTGCAAGCTGCCGATTGTACACAGAGACCCAGAGACATCCAATATCTTGTTAAACGAAAAAATGCAAGCCAAAGATAGCTGATTTCGGTCTCTCTAAGGAGCATTTGGTACCACTCATGTATCAACTGACCCCAATGGAACATTTGGATACCTTCATCCTGAGTATGAAGAATTAACTATAAATATCCTGTTTCTTTTGTGTTTTTTTTTCACCTTCTCAATCCAATAATGGTATATAATTATTATCAATTTATCCAATAATGGTTTTCTGATTATATTATGTCCAGATATTACCGCACAAGACAGCTCAACAAAAAGAGTGATGTATACAGCTTTGGGATAGTGTTGCTAGAGCTAATCACCGGCAGGCCAGCAATAATAAAAGAAGAAGATGAATGCATTAACTTATCTGATTGGGTGAGAACTAAACTTCACACAGAGAATATTGATATAGAAGGCAAAGTTGATTCAAGGATACAGAGGACCTAACCAAGCCTTCTGTGCGTGAAAAAGCGATCCAAACGTGTATGCTCACCACTCTTCTCAACACTTGACACGTGTCCATAAGCATAACCATAGTTACATAAATCAAAGTAAAAAGTTAACCATGGTTGTAACATCCCGATCCAAAATATTATTAAGATTGGTTTTAATTTAATTAAAATTTGGAATTTCCAATTTTACCCTTGAAGTGGGGGCAAAAAAGGTCAATTTTTATCCGGAGAGCGTTTGGGGCAGCAAGTGGTGTTTTTAGGAAGATGGTACTGAGCCGAGTCCGTAGACACGCGGTAGGCTCGATTCGGATTTGAAACGAAGAAGTTACGATCGAAGAATCATTGAGGATTTAATTGATAATTTTCAGAAATTATTTTGAATAAAAATCAGATTTCCTATTTCTATTTCTCATTTCTCTCTCTCTCTCCCGTGCGCCTCTCTCTCTCTCTCCCGTCGACTCTCTTCCCTCTGCAACAAACCCCCAGCCACCGCCACAGACCACCGTAGCCCACGCCGTCGGAGCCAAGGTCACAGGCCCGGCCCTGCTGTCTCCTCCCCCGCCATCTCTGCCGTCGCCAGCCGCTGCAGCCGCCGGAAAACGCAGCGAAAGCTGCTGGAAAATTTCAGAAAAATCATGAAACTTCAACACCTTCGTTCTCCTTCGTTTCTCAACCAAATTGGACGAGTGAGGTATGAAAATTCATCTATTTTTCATGCTCTAGCTGCCTGTTGGTTAGATTTCCCGAAATTTTGAGAGTTTACAAGTTAAATTTCGAAGTTTAGCTACAGCCGGTTTTCAGTTGGGATTTCCGGCCACTTCCGGCCATTTTCTGGTCTTCACCCAAGAAGAAAAGTGGTTCCATATTAGGTGTATTACCTAAGTTAGGAGTTTGGAGCCAAAATACTAAGTTTTTCCGGTCACCGGAATTGTGATCAAGCCACCCGCGTGCGGCAGCGCGTGGGGCGGCGCGTGGGCAGTCCGGCAGAGGCCACATTGTATCCTAAAATGATCCTTGTGTTGTCACGAGCGCGTAGGAGTTTACGGATCTCAATTTGGATATCGTTTGGGCCACGAACCAATTTGACATATTATGTGATTTTCGGGTTTGATGTGTTTGGACCGTTGGATCAAACCCAATTTCACGTATGTTGTTCCAGGTATTCCTAGGATCGCATAGGAATTCACGGATTGTGAATCGGAGCCCCGGATGTTCCGGTTCAATAATTTAAAGTTTATGATTTACGATAACCGTTC